GTCAATAGTGTAAACTATATTTGGGCCAAGGCATCTTCTAGGGCTCTCTCAGACAATCCCAGAGCTCTCCTGGGTGACTACCAGTGCAACCCTCTTGGCAAAATGCCCCTCACCATTCACAGCATGTACACACATGGAGTACACAGCTGCTTTACTCTGGAGACAGACATTTTTGCCACAGACACACGAGCAGCTCATGGACTTGTCCCCATGTGTCATGAAGCTCCTGGAAGGATGGCCATATGAAGAGAATGAAGCTCGTGCTCACTGCAAGCTTCCTAAGGTGAAGGACTGATCCCACTGCGTCAGTGAAGATGGTAAACTGAGTAAAGATCACACCTTTCTTACTAGAAATAAACATTTATCTCATCCTACAAAATGCTGAGGGCACTCATCTTTCAGAGCAGAAAGTGATGCTGGTGGGGGCAAGGTGCACTGTCAGACTCCTGGCACCACTGGTGTGCAGAAAATGTCTGCTCAACTGCATCAGGTTCCTTTGCCACAGCATCACATTCATCTCAAACACTACAGAGTTCAACTTACAAAAATAAACCTAGTTTATTTTATGATCTGTGTTGTCAAGCAGACATATTTCACCCTACAGTGAAAGGCTCATGCCTTTTTTTTCCCCCTCTCTTTAAGGTAACTATCCCTCAGAGACTAAAGACACACACTGCATAATTACATGGGCTGTTGTAACCCCAAGCATGTTTTTCAGCTTCCTACACTTCACAGCAGGACCAGGTGTGCTGGTTTTCTTTTCTTCTTATCCATTCTGTGAGGTTTACTTTTTTTATTCTCCGAAATATTTTAGGAGATAGAACAGGGACAATTGTAAATGACTGCAATGCCTCATAGCCACACACTGCACATGCTCTGGAGGTGGTAATGGAAGAGCAGCTACTGTTGGATATAATGTGAGAATTAGTGAAGAAAAACTTACATTTATACACAGCTCTTGCAAGGACTATTGCTTTTCTAGAAGATAACTATTTCATTTAATAGTTACTTTTGTGGGAAGCAAAATAATCACCTCAGAGACAGTCTCTTAAGAGATGATAAAGTAAATGTTCTCAAATTTTCTAATTGAAAACAATAGCAGAAAGTCTTGTCTTCATGATAGTAAAAATCACTTTTCTCTGTGCACTCTTCTCCCTCTGCTCCAATACACAGTTACGTAACTGCTTTCCACTTGAGATTTCTTGCCACATCCTCTGCACAAAAACCAGTAGTAACCCACTTCACTTACTCATATCTTTTCAGGGTACTTTCTACTCTCAACAGTTTTCTCACCACAGTAAAGATGTATCTAAACAGACATTCAGAACCAGGCTCAGACATCTGCAAGAGGCCAAGATTTAGATTCAGTCTATGAAAAATCCAGCCACTGTGTTCTCCCTTTATTTGTCCCCATAACTACTGTTCCCTTGCTCATAAGCATGTCACCTTCAGTGGCCCAGCAGCACCACAGCCCTCCCAGAGGCCTCTGACATCACAGTGTGTTTAGAAGTACTTTGTACATATGAGGTGATGGTTAGCATCGCACACACTCAGTGCATCTGGATCTCTTCTAGTTCAGGCTCCCCGTTGTCTAGAAGTTTATAATCCACCTTCCCATGTTTACATTCGGACAGCATTTTCATCCCCCTCCATACCTGTGGTAGTTTCAAAATACCTCCACTTCTGTTGTCCTCCCAGTTCTTGCCCTTCTTGGGACTTCTGTAACTCCTCACCCAGCTTCTCCCAGCATTTCCCTCCCAGCACTCCAGCAGCATTCAGCGCTCAGTGCAGATTGCTCTTCTATTCCTTGGGGTGTCTCATGCCTTTGTATATTTGACCTCTCTCTCTCAGTTCAGCCTACCATGTCTGATTGCCTTGTTGACATTCTGCCCTGGATATTCTACGGCCGCTCAGACTTCACAGGATGAAACCAAACACCTCGCTCTTCCCTCACAAGGAGAAATTTCTGCTGCAACACCATTTCTGCTCACCGAAGTTTTCAGTACTGATGCCTTATACACCCCTCTCTGTTTTCTATTTTCTGACTAACTTGGCATTAAATGCAACTGTGACTTTCAGTGTGATGGCTAAAACATTTCCCATCTCCATTGGCATGCTTGTAACCTCCGACTCCTCTCTGAGCTTTTCCCTTTTCATTTTTTACTTCATCATAATGCTGCATCCACACCGTCCCTTCATCCTTACTTCAGGGAGTCCATCTGCATGTCCAAATTCCTTCAGCAACTTCTCTCCAAATTAAATGACCTCCCTTTGAAGATACCATAGGACTCAGCGCCTGCCTCCAGCATTTCCTTTGGGTGCACTGCTATCTCTTCTGCTCTCATCTTGTGCCTTTTGCTAGATAGGTTAGTGGCCTTAGAATGATTTTGTCTTTTTCAGTATGAATTTTCCTTCCCCAGTTTTGTCAATGCTGAGAAAGCAGAGTAAAATCATGACTAGAATCCAGGATTCACAACTAGATTTGGAAGGTATTTCAGCATTAAATCAATAGTACTCCACTGGCTTGCCTATACTTTAAGGATTGAATCCTGGTCTTTGTATGTAGTACCAGAAAATGGAATAATTGCCTAGGTTGTAGGAGCTACAACCTGGTCTATGAACATAGCTGCAGGCCTGAAACCTATCTAAACTATATAAAGATTTGGATAGGACAGTGAAGTTGGCAATGATGGAAAAAGGTGTGCATTTCTGTTAACAGGAAGAACTAAGCTATCCCCTCTTTTGGTATCTTCAGGCTATACAACTTCATGGACACCCAGATATCCCTTCTTGCTTTTCCATACAGGATATGGAATATCCATGGATACCCCTTATCTTTCCTGCTGATACCACAATCACATCATAATTTCAGTTCATAGATAATCCTTTCCCTCCAAACTTCTATGTCTAGAACTGGTACCAACCAGGGAGATACCAGCCTGAAAAACGATTAGGTCAGAGTCGAGCCAGCAAACCTGAGACTACAGTTTCCTTACTTTCTAATATAAACTAACAGCTGTGTATGCTGGTGGAAAGGAAAGCAGTGAGGTTGTATTGTTATTACATCCTTTTAAAATGATGACCATGAAAGTTATTTGCATGGAGGTGAATGAAATCCTACGCCACAGAATGAGGAGGTGGAGATGGGTGGATGAGATGCTCTGGAAGACTGGTGGCTGAAGCCTCCATGCCCTATTCTTTGTCTCTCTGGGGTTGCTTGATTATCCCCTTCCAGGAGGCATACTCTCCCCTCAGATTACCTAACAGTTTGAAGCTAAACGATCAAACAAAAAAAAGGAAGTAAAGTTCTTAAATGTATATCTATTAGTCTGTTTGTAAGCATCCATGTACATAGATATTCCACTAAAAGGGAGGAAAGCAATGCTGCTTTCTTACTGTGCTAAGATTTAAACCAAAGGGTTGAAAGAAAAAAAATAGCAAAAGACATAGATGCAGTCGACTTTTAGATCAATTCAATTAATCTAGGAGAGCATATTCTTAATAAATGGCTTCATTTGCTTTTAAGGATAAATAATCTATGCTAACAGCATGAAGCACCTGCTGCTGCTGTGCATAGCTCTTCATTTAGTATCCGTGGGGCTTACTGTCACCAGCAGCACATAAGAGGAAAGAAAATACTCAACATTTTGTATAGCATTCATCAGATTCTTCATTTTGCTGTAGTGGCATAGGCAGTAAGAGTGCTTAACCCACTGTGGGTTTCCAGGCTTCCCAGGGTGTCTGCACCCTTTACACTGAAAGCAATTTTGTTCTGCTTTAGCTGTGGTTTAATCCAAGAAAAACTATCTTAATGCTGATCCTGAAGAGACACGAGCAAAACCACAGTCACTTAATTAAACTGTAAACCTGTAGTTGACAACAGACCATTAGATTCCAAACAGTATTTCCTTCTTTTGCACTAAGCAAATCCTGCCAGATTTGGTTAAATAAAATGTGTGACAATCAGTTTCAGAGACAAAAACTGAAAAATGAAGTGCCAACAACTGCTGAGAAGCCTCAGCTCAGAAAATAATAATTTCATATTCACATTTCTCACCAAAAAAGCCTTTCCCTGACCTTCAGAATACGAGATCCGCCTACTCCATCAGTTAGGGAGCTCTAAAGCAAGCGCCTTCGATCCCAAGTAACATGAAAAACCACACAGCAAGACAAAGTAATACAACATCGAACAGGAATGTAGGTAACATCTGCGAGGCTGGTTTTTGCCTGAATGCTTTTATCCTTCTTTTAGTTCTCAGTTTCACCTAATTGCTGACTTTGGCAAAATCCGAATAATTTGTCATCGTTGACTTCAAATATTGGCATTCACAAAACCATAAAAAGCACATACGTACCTCTAGCAACACCTGCGATCGATTATACCGTCACTCTCTGAATACCCTCTGGAGATTTTGCTCAGTCCCAAAAGGAGAGGGGGAAGGGATGAGAACAGTTGTCTGATGAAGAACACTGTATTAACTCCAATAAAAATATGATTTTCCCCACGCGTTTGACAGCATGGTGAAAATCATGCTAGCCGGATTCCATGCAAAGCAGTCCTTCCAAACACTGAGTTGAGTCAAGCAAACTCTACTGCAGCACGATGAGGAAAAAGTTGATGTATCAAGGCAGAAACCCCAATCTAAAATTCAAGGGAATGGTAACAAAACAGAATCAATACACACAGCAATTTCTATAGCAACTGGGGAAAAAAAAAAAAAAAAAAAAGGAAAAAAAAAAAAGAGTTGGCTCCTTAACTGCTAGCACAAAGCTTCTGTGGCAAATTAGGGGACCTGTCCCTACTGGCACTCCTCTGATCGACACGCTGAATCGATGCCCAGTGCGTTCCTCCCGCGCTCGCTCTCCTGCTTCCCCGGGCTCTGTGCAGGGCACGCCACGATCCCAGGCTGCGAGCGGAGCGCACACAAGCACACACGCGCAGCCCATGCCAGCACACATGCTCCTGCTCGCTCCTACACCCACAGCATCTCCGCACTCACCGTCACGGGCTTCCTCCCCGCGACTGCAGTTGCTGCAAATGTGTTTGATCTCCTTGCCTATGTGACAGTGTAGCACGAACGAGACATTGCTGTTAGTGGCGGGCTCCTTCAGTGGCTTCATCCTCACTAGATAGAAAGCATTCTTTTTAGGTTTCTCTCCGCTCATGCCTGAAACAGAGCCCTGCCCGCTGCCAGGAGAAGGAAAAGCCAGCATCCCAGGCTGCCTGGCGCGCGTGCAAGCCGCCATCCGCTCGCTCTTGCCTTGGTGCTCATCTGCCACACGCCACAGGGATCACGGGGAGGGCTAGGGGAGAGGGGAGGCGGGCGGCAGCAGACGGCAGCGCTCCCCTGCTCGGCTGCCCCCCACGACCCTGCTGCTCCACCAATCCAGCCAGGCTGGGCTGGAGGATGCTCCGTGTCCCCTCCACGCTGTGAGCATCCTCCCTTCGCTCCCCTCCTCCCGTTCCCTGTCTCTGCTCTGGCAGCCCCTCCCCAGGTCTCCAGGCAGGATGCATGAGCACTAGTGCAGCCCGTTCCACAGTTATCAATATTTTATACACCAAGAGCCAGCCTGCCAGCTGGCAGAGGGCTGTGCCCCCCGGCCCCACATGAGGCTTTGGCAGGCCTGGGTGCTGCAGCCAGCTCCTCTCCTCTAAATCCCTTCTACCTTTTCTCCTTGCTTCTTTTTTAAAGCCAGAGGAGAGCCTCTGCCTGCTCCTGTCCTGTATGTGGCTTGCAGTGACAGCTATTGACGGCAGCTGGCACTGCCCGAGGACGTCTGAACAGGACCACTCTCCCTCACACTGAGACTGAGCAGCACGCAGGGTTTGGAGCTCATCATGCACACCCCTTTCTTTGCCTCTAGCCCAAGACACAGAAGCCCAAGGAGCAGCCAGACAGCCCTGGGTGCATGCACTCATGTCTGGGTGCTTTCATGGCTCCCGCAGCCTGAAGGGAATTGTAACCTCTGATCAGATGCCTTCCTGATCACCTGCTGCCCACATGCCCCAAAGCACACCCTCTTTCCATAGAAGAGCAAACAGCCTGAGCTGCCCATCCTGTTGGAGCTGAAGCTCAGGAAAGAGCCTGTGACTCAAGGATGAGGGGGCAGGAGAACACAAGGGACAGGATGCCTGCTTCCTGCAGGCTTTGGGGAGGAAAGCCCAAAGAGGTGGTAACCTCAGCTATTTTGCTAGCTGTTACAGTAACATGAGTACTGTTGCTTTAAATCTTCAGCAAGCTATCTGTTTGGCAAGCACAGAGCCGAGAGTGCAATTGGGGCAGGCAAAACAAGGTAAAACGACACCATTCCCCTTATTTTTAGCCTTTTTTCCATGCTAGAAGAAATCAACTAATTCCACAATTCTTTGCCCTTTTCACACCTTGTTGCCACATTTTCTCTAACAAGAGGCTACAAAGGCTCTGATCCTCCTCAGCTGCATGTGAAGCAGGCAGTGCAAATTCTGCCTAAAAGATGGAGCAGAAACTTAAGGATTCAGTGCCTGCTTTTCCATTTTCTCAAATGCACACACACACACACACAAGATGCATGCAATGAAACCACTGACCTACTTGTTCTGCGTCATTCTGATGCAGGTCCAACTTCTCACCTGGCACTACAGGGAGCTGAAGCCTTGAGATGTCACACAGCAAGAACTGCGAGCCTTCACTCTCCTCAGCAGCTCTCACAAATGAGACGAGGTGCTGCGAGGGCTTCATACCGTTCGCTAAGCCATGCAAAGCATCCTGCACATTGTGCTATGGTTAGGCTCATGTTGAATGGAGTCAGGTGCCTCGGGTTAAGCACTGCCCTGAAGGACTTGATTTTGCATGGTTGTTCATCTAAAATTCTCACCAGTTTCATATTTAAGTGTGAGGAGAACAGGAAATGCAGCACCACTGAGGAGCAAGCAGATGAATTCCTGAAGTGTGCATCTCACGTAGCTGCAAGTTAATGCTCTGAGAAGCTGTCCCTTTGAATGTTTGATGCTGAGACAGTGTTTGCTCAATTGTATGTTTGGAAAGAAAAAGCTGAGAACAATCTGATCCCCTACCAGTCACACAGCAGTTTGGTCACTCACAGTGGATTCCCCTCTAACTTAATTGTTGCCTTTGAGAACACCCGTGATTCAGAAAATAATTAGCTAAGCAGAAGACATGGCCTGCCAGAATTCACCTCCTGAACTTCCTCGGAATTCAGTGCTGCCTGTCATGGGCACCCAGCACTGCTGTGCTAGGGAAATGCATCAGGAAAGGAATGCAAATTCCAACATCAGCTTCCCTGCATTTTGGAAATGCTGTCTTCTGGGCAGTACTGGGGTGCTCTGCGTCACCTGTTTTAGGAAAGGAAACTACAGTGATATGTTCAGCAGAGCTGGATACCAGCTAAGCTGGTTTTCAGAGGCAAATGGCCTTGTGCTTAAGGAACAGGGTAGGACTCGGGGCATGAAAAACTGGGTCAGACCATCAGTTTTTTTGCAGTCTCCTTCTGTGACCTTGGACAAATTACTCACATTGTCTTGACATCTCAGCTCCTTTGCTAAAGAGCAGCCATATCAATATTTCTGCTTCTCAGACCAATTCTATGAAATCACACTGCAAGGTGCTCTGAAAGTATTTGCATATGAAAGGGAAGGAACAAAAACTATTCAAATACTGCTCTCCAGAAGGAAACAAAAACACTTTCCATTAGGCTAAGTGTGAATGGTTCACACAGTTTGAACTTAATGCTTTATTTTCAAAAATCCTTGGATTTTCTTTCAAGTGTGTTAGTCCTTCTCTTTCAATTCTTTTTATTCTGAAACTGTAAAATACACCTCAGATCTGTAAACAGTTTTGCTATGTAAAACCTTCTGTTTTTTTAGTGACACCATCACTATCTCCTGTCCTCAAGGTTTTAGAGACGAATGGGAGCAGCCTCCTTCTGTATCTTCATGTAGAGACTGAGTAAGATCATGTGTGTACTCCTAAAAGTCTTAAGCAATTTGGTCCAGGTTCACAGGTCAGATGTACAGTGGGAGAACAACCAAGTGTTTACAGGAATGGACTGAGCTTTCTCAAGCAGATCCCAGGAGACTGCAGGAGCCCAGCTGTTTGGGGACATTTAAGAATTAAACAACTTCATGGCATCATATCCACGGATTCCATGTGGATATGAACCCAAAATTATCACAGAGAAAGGTCAGTGCGTTTTTTCTTGCAGGTGCTATGTATTTTAAATGCAAACAAGTCCTGGGGCCATCTGCCAGTACATCTCTTACAACATGCACTTTGCTACAACATGCAAATTGCCTTCATTCCTAAGAGCTGTCTTACAGAGAATTTGAATTTCACACAGCTCATAAAACAAAAATATGTTTAATTATGATCTGCGTAATTATGGTGAAAGCTGCCGCTGCTAATCAGTTCCAGGACAAATAATGTAGAATGAACATACTACAATATTTCTGCAGAAAAGGACTTGCTTTGTCTTGTTTTTAAAAATAAAAAAATAAAAAAAAATAAAAAAAAAAGCTTAATAACTCTTCCACTGCCTCAATATGTGCCTGAAAATGCTGGCATAATTTTATTGCACAATGGACACCAAAATCAATGAAGAGGAAGTCAGTAAATCAACAAACTTGAGTTTTCTTCCCACTCCAAATTCATTTCTTGTATAGCCTTGGGAAACCACGTGTGAGATCAGTTCCTCCCACCTCAGCCTTTCCCATTCAGAAAAGTGCCACTTTCTATGTCCATAGAGAAGCATCCCCTTCAAACAGACAGCTACTGACAGGAGGACTCATATCTGCACCAAAATCTTTGAGGTTCCATGCTGTTTCTCCTGCAACATGACTCCCTTGCCTCAAATCCCCTGGCTGAATCTTTCTTGGGCCACCAAGATGCTCTGAAATAATCAGTGAGAAGCAAAAAAGGATGCTGAAACTGGTCAACCGAGAACAGGCAATTCTCCTCAGAAAAGAAGATTTCTTGTTACTTAGTTCTCCAAGCAGTTTCATTGTTCACCCAGTGCCAGTAAGGACACCTCTCAAATCCCCACTAAGCTTTTCAGCCAAACCATGGGAGCTTCTCTGCAGGCAGGACAGGTTCCATTCTGCTTCCAGAACAAATAAATGGACGTCAGAAATCACGTGGAAGCCTCACAGCCACATCTTCCTTGAGTGTCACACTGAAGAGCCTGTGGCTAAGTGCGCTGTCCTGGTGGCTGCAAGTTCAAAATGCTACACAAACCCAAGTCTAACAAAGCAAGACTGCTTTTCCTAAGCAGTTTAGCCTTTCTAACCAAAACATCATGATTCACTTGTTTTACTATTTAGACAGTGATGTTTTTGCAGGGATGCCTCTGTACTTGGCAATTTTATCTAAATATTTCCATATCTTTCCTGTTTCTTCTGCCCACTGTACCATGAATCCAGTGAAAATAAAGAAAGAGATAAAAAATAAATTAACTAATTACCAGCTGCTCTGGTGATTAATGCATACATCTACGTTATATTACACATTTTCAAACCGATCAGCTTGCAGAGAAGATGAAAATATGTACAGTCTGATCAACTGATAGCAACAGGCAGACACCAACACTGCACCCCCTTTGGCAGCACCAACATGTTGGATGGCATGACATGTAGGGAGCAGCCAAGGGCTCTGAGTTTGTTCAGCCCAGAGCAGAGGAGCTGAGGGGAGGCCTCATGGTGGCTGCAGCTCCTCACAGGGAGCGGAAGGCAGCTGTGAGCTCTGCTCTGTGTGACAGTGACAGGGCCTGAGGAACGGCATGGAGCTGCATCAGGAGAGGGGCAGCTGGGGGTTAGGGAAATGGCCTGCACCAGAGGGTGTTCAGGCCCTGGAACAGGCTGCCCAGGGCAGTGGTCACGGCCTCAAGTGCTGGAGTCCAAGGGGCATTTGAACAACATTCTCAGACACTGAATTTTAGACGGTCTTGTGTGGAGCCAGGGGTTGGACTTGGTGATCTCTGTGGGTCCCTTCCAATTCAGGGTATTCCATGATCTACTCATGGACAAGAAATCCCCCAAGTCCACCTCAGGATAGCTAACATTTGCCAAAGGAGTGTTGTCAGGTGGAGAATCCTCCTGCTTGTGACAAAACTGGACATGCTGCTCACCAGGCAGTTGGTGCAGCGTTATCTGGCCTGAGAAGGAGCTCCAGGGTGCAAGGCTGACAGCATTTCTGTGTGTTTCTGCTTACTGCATGGCACATCAGCAAAACTAGGAGGGCAGGGAAGAGGGAGAA